TCCAGTACAGGTAAGAAACTTAAACAACTGTATTTACATTCAGTGGAAGCTGTCCAGTACAGGTAAGAAACTTAAACAACTGTATTTACATTCAGTGGAAGCTGTCCAGTACAGGTAAGAAACTTAAAAAAGTGTGTATACATTCAGTGAAAGTTGTCCAGTACAGGTAAGAAATTTTAACAAGTGTGTATACATTCAGTGAAAGTTGTCCAGTACAGGTAAGAAACTTAAACAACTGTATTTACAATCAGTGGAAGCTGTCCAGTACAGGTAAGAAACTTAAACAACTGTATTTACATTCAGTGGAAGCTGTCCAGTACAGGTAAGAAACTTAAACAACTGTATTTACATTCAGTGGAAGCTGTCCAGTACAGGTAAGAAACTTAAACAACTGTATTTACATTCAGTGGAGGTTGGCCAGTACAGGTAAGAAACTTAAACAACTGTATTTACATTCAGTGGAAGCTGGCCAGTACAAGTAAGAAACTTAAACAACTGTATTTACATTCAGTGGAAGCTGTCCAGTACAGGTAAAAAACTTAAACAACCATGTTTACATTCAGTGGAACTTGTCCATTACAGGTAAGAAACTTAAACAACCATGTTTACATTCAGTGGAACTTGTCCATTACAGGTAAGAAACTTAAACAACTGTGTTTACATTCAGTGGAGGTTGGCCAGTACAGGTAAGAAACTTAAACAACTGTATTTACAATCAGTGGAAGCTGTCCAGTACAGGTAAGAAACTTAAACAACTGTATTTACAATCAGTGGAAGCTGTCCAGTACAGGTAAGAAACTTAAACAACTGTATTTACATTCAGTGGAGGTTGGCCAGTACAAGTAAGAAACTTAAACAACTGTATTTACATTCAGTGGAAGCTGTCCAGTACAGGTAAGAAACTTGAACAACTGTGTTTACATTCAGTGGAAGCTGTCCAGTACAGGTAAGAAACTTAAACAACTGTATTTACATTCAGTGGAAGCTGTCCAGTACAGGTAAGAAACTTAAACAACTGTATTTACAATCAGTGGAAGCTGTCCAGTACAGGTAAGAAACTTAAACAAGTGTGTTTACATTCAGTGGGAGTTGTCCAGTACAGGTAAGAAACTTAAACAACTGTATTTACATTCAGTGGAAGCTGTCCAGTACAGGTAAGAAACTTAAACAACTGTGTTTACATTCAGTGGAAGCTGTCCAGTACAGGTAAGAAACTTAAACAACTGTATTTACATTCAGTGGAAGCTGTCCAGTACAGGTAAGAAACTTAAACAAGTGTGTATACATTCAGTGAAAGTTGTCCAGTACAGGTAAGAAATTTAAACAACTGTGTTTACATTCAGTGGAAGTTGTCCAGTACAGGTAAGAAACTTAAACAACTGTATTTACAATCAGTGGAAGTTATCTTTGATATTTATCATTCTTGTTTAATGAGAATAATTCACTATGATTTTTGTTTTCCTTAGTTTGTTCTACAAGATGTTGGTGGGTCACTGGGGTCATCAGTTATGTTAGGAGACTTTGTCCATCCTTCAGAAATACCCAGTTTGGTGAGTTATTTAACACATTGGAAAATGTAATCTGCTGTACTTAAATAATATTGTAAACAAAATAAAAAATAATGGTTTGATTTGAAAGCAGTTTGTTTAGAGAATGAAAGGAAATTTAAAGTTGTGGAATTAGTCTGAATGTTTATAAATTTCAGTTGAATTACATTCTTAGTAATTATTGAGATTAAAAAATTGTTTATTTATATATATATATTTTTTTACTTCTGATTTTTCATGAATTATGATTAAGATATCTGTAGAATAAGTAAAATTTATTTTTCTAAATTTTGTGTGGTGGTTTTACCCAAATGTGACGAGGCATGGTATATGAAGTTTTACTTAAGCCTAATTCTGCTTTGTCTCTTGGTAATATCACCAAACAGGGCCAACTTCATCTTGGGCTAATGGCCATAATAAACTGCCTAACTGATGATCTGGGGCAGAGTGAGCATAGAACTTTTTTGTAGTTTGCCTGTGACACTTGTAATTAACACTATTCATTATTAATTGTAATTAACACTGTAGAATTTTAGCATCTCTTTTGGTAGAGGTTATTATGTAATTGCTGAAGTGTTGTCAATGTTTTGTACTAGTTTTCACATGATTTTTTGTGTTGTTAATGTTTTTCCAGTACTCAACTGCTGCCAGTGAGTGTATGAGGCAGAACTTACACGATGCTTTAGAGTTTATCACAGATGTCCACACTTTAAGTAAAATTAAGGTGAGTTTCAATTGAGTTAGTGAATACTGTAATCACAAGTAGAACAGAATGTATGTAACATCATGATGTTACCTTCATTTTACAGGATTATTTTAGTGTTAGATAAGTTCAAAATCTCCGGTAAGTGTTTCATTTATGTAAAAAAAATCACATACACTTGAAATCAGGTGTGTCCCAGTGATTAGCATACCTTGAGTTGTGATTCTGATAGTTCATGATATCATCTTGTTGCCATAGAAATATGCTCCACACTTTGAAGACAGTATAAGTGTGTCTTCCAAATCTCACTGTTTGATCAGAGAAGAATAGCCGGAGAGTTGGCTAGTTGTCTTATCTGTAGTCTAGCAGTTGAAAATTAGGGACAGCAACAGCTATGCACAGATAGCTTTTATATCACTTTAAACATAAATCGGAAATGAACACATACTCTTTCTGCATCAGTTTGTAACAGACACAAAGTTTTTAAATTATATACATTATGTAGGTAACAATTTATTGTTGGAGAAAAATTCGAAGGAAATTACATTTTAATGCATGTAATTTTGATCAACTGCAAAGGTGTATAAAAATATACATGTGTAAAAGTTTGTATGTAAAGTTTATTTATTTCGTTTCTACGAGAATTTCCATATTATCAACTTAGGACCTTTACGAAAAAAATGTCTCAAATATTGGATGTGTTTAATGACGTGGATGGAACATAGTAAACTTTAGTAATTTTATTTTGATGAAATAGTTATATATCCACTATCTTGATAGCAACAGAAATGATAATGACTGATAGTGCTACGAAAAAAAACAGCATCGTAATTCAGGGATAAACGAAGCACTTTGGTACTTGATTTCCACAAAAATTAGAGATTCGTGGACCTAATATGTGGAAGGATAGGTATACAGATTTATTCATTACAGATAAAATGGAAGACATTAGTTTGTATGGCCAATGATCTACTCGGTAACATAGTGAAATCAGGACAGGACTTTTACGGCAAGTCTTAGCCATTTCAGACTAGGACACAAAGTACTCTTCTCAAAGATTAAAAATAATGTGGTCTAAGAGCACTAAAACTGCATTCCAAATGCATGTTCTGTGTAGCTGACCAGTCACAAAAAGGCCACCAAAATGCAGAAATATCTTTGCTTGATGGGCTCTAGGTGGTTCAGTGATGGGTTTCAGGGCTTATAATATAGAAAACTGGGTCTCAATACCCATGTTAGGCAGAGTACGGATAGACAATTCTGTAGCTTTGTACTTAACAATAAACAAAAAACAAATGCATGCTCCATGGTGTAGTTGCATGGTAGCCCTCTATACACATGGCAAAGTATGACATGATGTAACTATCCCGTGAAGCTTTGTACTTAACAATAAACAAACAAAAAACACATGCTCCATGGTGTAGTTGCAAGGTAGCTCTCTATACACATGGCAAAGTATGACACGATGTAACTATCCCGTGATAGTTACATAGGGGTATATTTAATTATAACTTTGTAGATGTACTTGAAGGTTAATAACATATTAATTTATAGATTTGTAGATGTACTTGAAGGTTAATAAGATATTTAATTATAACTTTGTAGATGTACTTGAAGGTTAATAAGATATTTATTTATAACTTTGTAGATGTACTTGAAGGTTAATGAGATATTTATTTATAGCATTGTAGATGTACTTGAAGGTTCAGGGGTATATTTAATTATAGCTTTGTAGATGTACTTGAAGGTTAATGAGATATTTATTTATAACTTTGTAGATGTACTTGAAGGTTAATGAGATATTTATTTATAACTTTGTAGTTGTACTTGAAGGTTAATGAGATATTTATTT